AGGATACCACGGTCAAGGTTTCAGATCTCTGTATTAGCCAACCATGCACCCCCCCCCCCCCCACTTCAAAAAAAAAAAAATGTAGAATAGGCTGGGGGAACAGAGAACCTGTATAAACAGCCAGACTATAGGATGAGATCATAAGCCCTGGAGCTAGTCTGTCATGATAGAACCAAATCCAGTACATTACAATTCAGGTTTTTAGAACACCTTATGTTCTAATTCCTTTCTATTCTTTAGTGTTAGTTATGTCTGAAAGCTCCAGATATGAGAAACTGAAATAAATGAAATTTTGTTTGTGCTTAGGCCAATGCTTTAGGAAAATAGTATAATCTTATGGACTGTGGTCAGAACTCAAAGAGGAAAGTCAGGATATTTGATCGGCCAACTCTTCTGACCTATACACATTCTTTCCAGAATTAAAACTACAGTGGTTTTAATTAAATGAGATAAGCTGTTTCTAATACTTAAAGTTTAAGCTTTTGGTCCTAATCTCTTTCCCTTAAATACATATATATACGGGGCAGTATGAAAACGTCCCTTAATTTTGGGAACTTACCTTCTCAAATCTCTCATCATGGAGGGTCAGCTGCTCATTTCTCCTCATGACTGAGGAAGTCATAGAGTACTCTGTGAAGCGGCTTTTTGTTTCCTCGTCCCAGAACAAGTGATTTTCTACAGCTCCAAGAGATTTTCCAGGGGCAGACAAATCATCTTCATCCGACAATGGGCCTGCAGAGTCATACTCCTCATCACCACTACCTCCTGCCTTCTTACCATCCATATCTTCCCACTCACTGCCATCTTCACTGTCAGATTTCCTAAAGTCAAAGAGTCATAAACCAAACAATTTAAAATATAACAGAACAAAACAACTTTATACAAGTAAAAACTGGAGAGTATTTCAGGAAGGGTTCTTTTCTAGGAAGGAACTACAGTGATGCTTGACCAATCTGGTATGGTAGGAAAAGCAATCAGGATCCTTAGACTTTAGCCCCACCTATCAATAGCTTTAAAGACCTTGTGCCACACATTTTCTGCTCTAAATTAGAGAAGTCTCAGATTAAATGCTCTTGAAGGTCTTTTCCAACTATAACGTTCTATGGTTACCAACCCACTGAAGAAGCAACAGTCATCATTCCTGCTTTGAAACAACACACACATACTGTATATCCATTCCCTCTTCCTCTCCTGTTGGCATATTGGCCTGAAAAATAAAGTCATCTTCAAGCAGATTATCTGGATTATCAAAGTCAAAATCATCATCAAGAGCTGCAACAATGTCAGGATCAAAATCCAGTCGAGGTCCTAGAAGAAAAACAAAAATTGAGCAACAATTCCCAAGAAAGCGCAATTTATTCACTTACCTAGAGTATCTATAATATGCCAGAATCTATTTATGTACTGATGATAAAAGAATGATTAAGAACCATAAGAAGTTCAGTTTAGTGAGGCATAGACATATACATGGCTAATTCCAAGACAAAAAAAATCCCTGCCCTTTCAATATCTACTGGTAAAAACACTCTTCTTTTAAATTTCGTCTGTTTAGCAACATTCAAAGCTTTCACCTGCAGGAAGAAAATAGGCTTTAAATTTATATGTGAGAAGTAACCCAAGTTTAGTATTTGTAGACTGTTACACTTTCAGTCTTTTCAAACTATGAGATTTTAATAAATTTCCAACTGCTTCTTCAGCTGTATTCTTCCATTTGTATTAATACTAGAGTTTAAGAAAAACTTTCAAGTCCAAATTTATAACTTGACATGGCTTCTGACACCCTCTGTAACATGCCCATTGCTAAACTGTCCAGCCTCATTTCTTATTCATCCTTACCCTTCTTTCTAGGCATGTGGAGATGCATGGTTTCCTATATTCATGTTCTCTTGTTTTTGCACATACAGATCTGCCTGGCATATCCTCTCTTCACTGCTCCTCCTTCTACCTGGCCTAACTTCTACTTAAGAAATCAACTTAGACAACACATCCTCTATGAAGCCTTGTCCAATTCCCTGAGGCTGGGTTTCATTCCTTCCGCCCCACCAGTATTTACCCATTTCTACTGCAATAGTAATTTCCCATTGATTGCCTATCTTTCCCAACTGAAATAAATTCCTTGAGGTCAGGGACTATGCTTTATTCTGATTTAACCCAAGACCTTGCCACATTGTGGCAACTTAAAAGTCTGTAGAATAGATTAATGAATGAATGCCTCAGGGCAAGTGTTAGTCAATAATTAAGGCAATTTAGGAGAAAATACCAAACACCACTTCTGTGGACTTCTGCATTTGCTCTAAAATACAATGTTGGTACTGAAAATAATAATAATTTAAAAAAAGGCAAAAAAAACCCCATTTTTTCAGTGTATTTGGAGTAGATGGTAAAGTGAACTTCTGTACATTCCTGGAGGAAATTTTAAAAGACAACAGATTATTTTTCAAAGTTATACTATATATAATGAATGATGAAGATCAATGTTATTCTTTGTAAGAGGTTGAAAGAATGTTAAAATTCTTCTAAGATCACAAAAAATAGTTTTCCCACTTTCCTCTCCAAATAGGAACTCTAAAGACCTAAGAATCTGATAGCAGTAATACCAAAGGAAGCTGATCACACTTATCCCTTTCTAATAATCTCTGATCTGAATTCTAGACATCTCAATTGTATAACACTTTATTAAGGACAGGAAAATCCTACATCATTACTCTGTATTTCTTTTTGAAAACACAAATTTAAAGAAATTAAACACACCTGAAACAGGAGCGGCTTTATTTAACAATCCAACATCTTCCTCAAACTCTGATGCAAACACTGATGAAGGCAACTTAATTCCAGTGCTCTTGGAATAAGAAATTGCACAAAGGTTAGGTTTATTTGAAATACTTCTGAACTACTGTACTAGTGTGATAAGTGTCCCCACCAAATCCATGTCTACCCAGAACTTCAGACTGTGACCATATCTGAAAGAGGGTCCTTGCAGATGTAATTAGTTAAGATGAGGTCATACCAGATGAGGGTGTGTCCTTATAAGAAGGCCAAGTGAAGATACAGACACACAAGGGAGAATGCCCGTGAAGATGGAGGTAGACTGGAATGATGCATATACAAGCCAAGGAACTCCAAGGACTGACTGCCAGCAACCTTCAGAAGCTAGGAGTGAGACATGCAACAGATTCTCCCTCTGAGCCCGCTAGAAGGAACCAACCATGGCTGATACATTGATTTCAGACGTCTGGCCTCCACAACTGAGAGAATAAATTTCTGTTGTCACCTAGTTTGTGGTAATTTGTTACTGCAATCCTAGTAAACCATTACAACTACATTCTGTATTCCCTCACATGTACTCTAGTTATATACTTTAAACATGTATATTCCATCATCACCTCCAAAGCAACCTCCCTAAAACACTTCACAACACTTTCTGTAGTACATTATTCCATTTAACCTCAAACCCTGTGAGGTATCAGCACGTCTCAAAGAACAAAAGCTAAGAAAGGTTAAATGGCAGACTGCCTGGGGACTGGTCATTAAGTGAGGTTCTGGAATTCAAAGCCAGATTTCACACTCCACTCACCTGAAGTTTCAAAACAAAAATAATCTTTTTTCCTCTTAAACTAGAGATAACGTTCCAATCTCTAATAATGGCACAGCATTTCTTTGAATCAGCTGTCTTAAATCCTAGGGTGGTAATAAATCATTTCTTTCTCTACCTAATTCTCCTTCATCTCTCTTGTTAAATAGTGATTTCACTCCATTCCTTTGGGCACTATTCTATTTATGATTAACCAAGACACAGACTACTTCAACAGCTACTCATGTATTCTGTACCTAGTCCAACCTTCACAGCACTGCCAAATTAAACTTCCTTAATAGTTTTATCAAGTGACCTTCCTGAACTTATAATAGGTCTCAATTTTTCACCCTGTCATTAAGCTCCTGACGTTCAAGGCCCTATAAAATCCAGGCCTACTCTATGTATCCAAATTTCTTACTGTTATTCAATAGTAGGACCATGTAAATCAAGTCCCCATTCATCGCCATCATGTAATAATTCAAAATAATTAAGCATGAATGTGCCAAACACTGTGATGCACAATACTACCTTGTATCTCTGCTTCCTGACTGAAATGTTCCTCCTCTCTTCAACAGTATCCACCCATTGGTGGCCAGCTTAAGTTCTTACCTTCCTGCATGAAGCCATTCCTGATTACAGTCCTAGAACTTTCCCTTGTGTGAATCGCCCTCATTCTTCAGACCATGCAATCTACTTAAACATGCGCTCGTCTATATTCTGACTGGTCCTTATGTTTTAGTTTCCTCTCCTCAACCAAATAGTTAATGTGTGGGTAACCACCATGTGTTACACGTCTCTGTGTACCTTACCACCCACACTCTGTCCACAGTCCAGTAGAAGGCACAAAGCTGAATGTATGTTCTCACTGGTCACTGATGGAGAGCATTCTGAATTGGGAACCTCTGAGGAGCATGAGCAAAGGCTACATAGAGCAGTGCATACATAGCAGGCAGTTATGGCTTCCAAAATGAGTTTCTTAGTGGCATAAACATGGGCAAAGATCTTTTTGCTTTGGAGTCTGTTTTAAAAAAAACTCCAAAAACCCACAAAAAACAGCCTTACTAAGATATTCACATACTACACAATTCACCCATTTAAAGTGTATAATTTAATGGGTTTTTGAATATTACATTATTAATTCTCATATGTAGTCTGGTTTCGTAAAGGTATTTGTTCTAATTATCCTTAGAATTTTGGGGTTATAAAAGAGGGAGGAGATCAGCTTGTGCTTAGTGAATTTACCTTTGGGGGAGATTTTTCAAATCTTGAAAAGTAGTCAAAGAGTCACATACATAATTAGAGTTTAGATAATGATTACTTTTCTTTTTAGAGATGTATTATTGGTTCCAACAGTTCCCAAGTACACCGAGTTTGCCCAGCTACTTTCTACCATGTAGGACCTCTCTCCTTCATGTGACAATCAGGTCCTGCTCAAACATTAATCCTTCCTATACTGCCTTTCTATAACTGTCTTAAATTCTGCTTCTAGGGCTTATTCAATACTTCTGATCTATTCAATTTTGGTGGTTTGTTACAAATTATGTTAAAGTCAAAAAAGTACATGAGACTAATCCATATTTTTGCATAGCACTATAGAAAACCAATGGCATTTTGTTTTTAAATATAATTCATTTGTCCTTACAAATATCACTGAAGTGTCCATTTAAGAGCCTTACTCTGTTTAAAAAAACAAACAAAAAAACCAATTAGTGATTACTTTTACCCAAAATGAATTAAGAATTAAAACCTTGTCTTGCACTGCTCAATACAATCCAGCAACGAGAATGTTATGACTTTATTAAAACTTTTCTCCCTAAGTAAGATAAAGAAGTTGAACCACTACTGGACACGCTCTTCTCCTTCAAAAGGTTATAGAAGGAAATGAGCCAATAAGATAAGTATCCTACTACTGATATAACAGCCTTGGGGAAGAAGGAATAGAGAAACTGGTTCTACTATGGCAGAGATGTGGCAGTGGGATTTTGGGCTCTACAAGAGAGCTATGTCCTAGCTGGTAAGTGGAACAGCTGCAGTTATTACCTCTTTCTTTGGGATCATACTCTGAAACCTAACCCTTCTGATTCTCCTTACGCAACAAGCTATAGACTGGAAAAGCTATGATCACATCTTCCCAGAGGAAAGGAATGCCTAGACCATGACAGTAGACAATCAGAAGCAGAGAAAACTGGTGCCCTTATCTCTTCCTTTTTGTCTATAAACGTGATGAATGTCTCCTTTTAAGTGCCAGGTGATATAATATCTTCCCACAGGCAGGAAAATGCAGTCTATACTAAATTTAAAATATGGTAACAGAGGCACGCAACATCAACATCCTGAAAATAAACAGGAGGAAAAATATAACTTGCTAACTTACAAAAGTGTTAAAAGATCTCAACATTCCACAAAAGTTAAGTTCTATCTTAGAACAGAGATTATGATCCTGAAACAGTTAAGTTGTTAACATATACAATGCTGCCTACTTATCTTCTATTGAAAAGTGCTGTCTAACATGATCATGTCTACCAATCAAAAGTTCTAAACCTCTCAAAACGCTGTTACTATTGAAAAGTGCTGTCTAACATGATCATGTCTACCAATCAAAAGTTCTAAACCTCTCAAAAGGCTGTTACTTTTATTTTATTTTTTTTCCTTTTTGTCTTTTTTCGTGTCCGGCAACGGATCGCAACCCTCAGTGTCGCGCCCGTACCAGACCGAGACCGGCAACGGGATCGCAAACCTCGGTGCTGCGCCCGCACCTTGCTCAGCCAGTGAGCGGGAACCGGTCTGTATGTGGGATCTGAACCCTCGGCGGGAGCGCCGCCGCGCTCCCAAGTGGCGCACTGTAGCAGTGCGCCACCGGGCCGGCCAAGGCTGTTACTTTTGACACTTGCCACCATAGAAGAAGTGGTCTACTTTTTCCTAATGGTATACATGTGCACATACGTATACAATTTTAAGCGGCAGTATGGCCTATCTTTGTGCTGTTCATACAGACACTTTTTTGTCTCAGTTTTCCTGATTTAGAAATGGTGGTTTCTTCACTCACTCCCACACTCTCTCACACTTAAATTGCTGAAAAGCCTTACTGGAATTACTGAAGTTTCTTCTTTCTCATCTCTCCTGTTGGGTGCACTGAAGGTACTTGAAGGAATAAGCTCTGAGGGCCCAGATGGCTCCTTCAGGTGCTGCAGATAGTCATAGTCATCATCAAAAAACACTCCATACTTCCTCTGTTCTGCTCGCCTTTCTTCATCATTTATCTTGGATAATAAACAAAACAGAATCAGTACTCCTTCCAAGGATAAGGCATAGGAACCTTACAATGAGCATGGCTTTCAGAATGGGAGGCTGATGGCACAAGAACACTTTGGCTGACAGTTATGTAACAAAGAATTCTCAACAAACTCAGAGGAAATGAAGAGCTTCTAAACCAGAGTGCTACGTAAAATTAAAATGGAATGAAAACAATTACTCCTTCCACTAGACATTTCTGTGCAACAATCTGAGCCCCCCCCCCCCCACCCCCCAATCATGTATTTGGAGGACTAGAAGCATGGGAGGACTTGAAAGGTAAATACAGCTTCTTGTATTTATATGCAAAAAAACTTCTCAACGTACAACAAAACTGGCTTTACTGAAAAGCTAAACATAGCCAATGTCCCCCAATTCTCCCTTTCACATTATCCACACTTAACAAGTGTACTCTAAAACAATCATCAAATCAACCCTTTCGGGGCTCCCTGGCATTTTCTAAAGCTAAGGCATGAGCTCAGATGTTTTACATTTCATGAAATGAGTGACCAGGAGGCAAAATGCAGTTTGTAGTTATGAAATGGCAGGATCTTAGGGAAACAAGAGATTGAGCATATGGTTGTGCCTTCAATAACATCACATAGCATTATAGCTGGTGGTTTAGTAAATACTTACCATTACTCTAGGAGACTTGTTCATTTAAACGTCTCAAATAAAGATGCTTTAATCCTCCAAATCAAAATAAACACACATGATGTAATAATCAGCACATGTACTGAAAATTAAGTCACTGATTGTTTCCCAGAAGATGAGTTATCTGAGAATAACGACTGGCTAACAATTTATTAAAAACTACTAACAGTCCACCTACAAATTTACTGGCTAATGAACAGGACCTACTTTCTGTGTGGGCAACAGAACCCTCTGGGGTGCAGTCTCATCTGCTGCTAAAGGATCTCGCTGGCTCCGGTGGACCAAATGAAAAGACACGGCTTTCTTCTTCTCTATAAAGGGCTTTTTCTTCCTGTGAGGCTTCAAAGGAACAGAAACAGAGCAAATCATTAAAACAGAACAAGAACAACAAAAAAAGTGAATAATACCATAGTCCACATACGCATCTTCAATAAGTCATGTGAAGGTTCAACAGAATAATCTACACTTCTAGGGCCAGCAATAACAGCTGTATTCTACAGAACCTATACTTACCTTCGTTCAAACACTTATTTAGTACCTACTCTGTGCCAGACCTTGTTATGGGAGCTGGAAATACAGCAGTGGGAAAGTCAGATAAAGTCCTTGTTCTTACTAAGCAAATTAACAGGATAATAACTTCAGGTGAAGAAAATAAAACTCAATGATGTGCAAATGACTGAAGAGTTACTTCAGACTGGATGCTCTGGGAAGGTCCCTGACAGGCTGAACCAGAATGACAAGAGGCTGCCACAAGAAAATCTGGAGTAGACAGTACCAAACAGGGTAAACACTTCACCTACCAACACGACACAAACAGCTAACGTTTAATAAGATTCATCATTCCTTTCTACATTCTCATTCGGTTATTTAATCTTGATTTTCTAAACTAAGAAGCGAACTGGGTACGTGGCTTTACTTGGGGCCCAACCTTAGGCTCTCCCACAAGTTTCCTTCCCCCCCCAGCAAACAGGCAGACATCTGCCACTTCCAAAACCTCGAGAGACCAACAGCTCCTCTCTTTCCGACAACATGAAGCACAGAGTGGCGTGTTTGTGTCCGATGTCACAGGTTTTTAGTCAACCAAAGGCACAAAGAGCTGCAGACCCCTCGGGGTAAACGGGACGCCATTCTCCTCAGATCCCTCCCCCGGGAGGCTCGACCATGGCAGACTATAACCTGTCAAGTGTGCCCGGGGTGGTGAGGGTGACCCATTCCGGGCACCGTGCCGCAAGCAGCCTGTGGCACCACCCAGACCCAGGCCGCAGTCGCCACTGGCATCACCGGAACCAGCCGGCCTCTGCAAAACCACAGCGCCCCGCCGCCGAGACAGCAAGACTTGCTCACCATGCTGCAGCCGCGCGGCGCTCACGCCGTAGACAGCGGCGACCACACCCTCCAAGCCCGGGCGGAGGCCAAGGCCCACCTCACATTCGCGTCTTTAGGCCTCGCTACACGTGCGACCCCAGAACCCGGCAAGAAACGTCACGGAACAGCCCGTGGAAATGGTCCAATCGCCGACGAGCTGAGCGGTCGCGGCCGGAAGTTACGTATTGCTTGCTCCCTCCCAACGATCGCGAGAAGCTACCGGGAGGTGGGGCTAGCGCAGTTCCCACCCCCGAATGGGCGGTGCTCTTCGGCTACAATTCTCCTACCGGGGCAAGGGAGTCGGCAGGTAGCTGTGCGTTAAGGGGCAAAAGGGGGTTGCTGCTTATGGGCGAAATTCTTTTTATAGCGCCCTCTACAGAGGCCAGAAGGGACGAATGGAGCATCCCCATTCATTTGCATCCCTTACTTATTCCCAACAATGAAAAACAAAAAACCGCATGCACGAAAGGGAGATGGACACTCTCCTGGGTCACTGGGGTTTCGGGTTCCCTTTCTTCTGTTGCGGGGTTGGAGTCAGTTGCCTTAGCAACGGAGGAGCGGGCCTTGCAGTTGGAGGCTGCACCAAACTTAATCAGGTCTTTACTATCCACCATTTAATGAACTACCTTCATCTGTCCTGTTAACAACCCCCCAAGACTCTGTTGACTGGAGAGGCATTGGGACTAGTAAAATATATTCAGAATCTTGGTGTTTGTATACCTTATCAGGTGGAAACTAATGTGAATTCTCTTCCAGTTTGTTCCTCAACTGTTCTAATGTGGTTTAAGCAAATAGGCTGTAAGCATATCTTCTTTGCAAGATTTCAAGCAGGTGCTGGCACGCTCTTATAGCCTTTCCTGGGCAAAAGAGTGTGCTAAATCCAAAGTTTAACAGCAGGCCTTTTCTTATATTTGTGTTTCATCTTCTCAGTTCCTTGTGTCTTTGGTATGTCTTGATTTACCTCGGATTGTGTCTTTATGTCTTATATATTACCACTATAAATATTTGTGGAATATTATTCTTTTATTACAATAAAAATTATAAAAACGATTTTGGTTAGGACCACAGAACTTGTGTTGAGATATTGCTTTGTAACACAGAAATGATACATAACACTCCTAGGTGCCAGAAATTCATTATTACTGTTTGTTATGTAGAATTGTGATCCATGAAGGCAATCTGTTTTATTTCAATCTGTTTTATTTTCTGCTGCATCTATCTTCACAGGCGAAGATAGTGCCTAGTTCATATACTCAATAAATATTTGTTTAAATGAACTAATGTTCTGACGCTTTACCTGAGTATCTCATTTCTTTCTCACCACAACACTGTGCGTGAGGTACTGTTATCTTCATCATCTCACAAATACTAAAAATAAGGCATAAGAAGGTTAAGTAACTTTCTTAAGGTCACACAAATAGTAAATGACAGAGTAGGGATTTAAACCTAAGCAGGCTGACTGCAGACTGGCCACCTAACAACATTGCTTGCTAGTTCCCCCTTTTGAGTAATATTCTGCTTACTGTATATATTTATTGGTCTAATGCAAACACTAAACACACCGTGGTAATAAGCACTTTGTGTTCTTTATGTCATTGAATTCTTTAAACAAGCCAGTGAAGTACAATTAAGTAACATTAAGTCAATCTCACAGATGTGGAGCCTGAGGTTCAGAGAACTGAAGTTGCTTACCCAAGGTCACACAATAAGTGGAAAAGCCTAGAAGTTCATCAGGCTGGTTTAGGAAGGCCATAACCTTATCCATATGCTACTCTGCCTCCCTAAGGCAGTCAACTAGCAAATTCTGTTCATTCTACCTTCTAAATATCCAAAAGTATCACTTCATTACTCATTTTATCAAATTTATCATTTTTTAACACTCTAATCAAGTCACTTTCCTGTATAAAATCCTTCAATGTCTACCCTCTGGCCTCAGGATAAAATCCGAACTCTTTTGCATGGTGGCCAAGACTATATATCACTAGTCTCCAGCCATAACTTTAATAACATGTCCCTTTATTCCCCGATATACCACATCTGACCCAGCCCTATCAAACTGTTTGGATTTCCCAAATGTACCTGAAAGAGATTGGCTCTCTCCTGCCCATCTGAAAGTCTCTTCCTCTCCCCTCCCTGTTCTTCAAGTCTTATTTTAGCCATCTGTTCTATCTGGCAGAATTACAGGCTGGAATTGACCCAAAAGGGGCGGCAGGGGACTCTGGACTGTCCCAAAGCAGCCCAAGATGGGGCTGGTTGGGATTCCAAAAAAAAGCAATAAACACCAGGGTGATCAGTCCAAAGCATTTTTAGGGGAACTTATGTACAGAATGCTCTAGCAGTCTTTGTAATGAACAGTGAGAAAAGAGATGCTGTACCTAGGCATGTCCACAACGAAGAGGTCTGGTGATGGAGTTTATATGAGGGTTTAAGGCATTTGACTCAGGGCCAGGATCAGTTTCTATGTGCTTAGCAACATATTTTGATCTTTCAGTGTTTCGGGCAATAATCTACACAACTTTATCAGTGCTTGGGAATGTTCAAGGCCCCAGCTTGGGTTCAAGCCTACAGGGGGAAAAAAAAAACCCCATGCAGCTGGCCAGGTCACAGAGCGGTCAAGGCACTCCGTGTTTCTTGGTCAGGACACAGAAAGAAAGGCGGGGGAGCTGAGGGACCCTACACCATCTCTGCCTATAGGAAACTTTCTCATGCTCTTTAAAACTAGGACCCCACTGCAAATGCTCACATTGTATCCTGTGATTACACTACTCAGATACACTAAATTGGAAATCCTTATTTTCATCTGTCTCTATAACCAGACTTCCGTAACCTACTTGAAAGCAAGGATCTTTGTTTTGCTAGCTTAACTTCCTCAGGGCCCAGCATAGTAAAGTTTCAATAATTTCATTGTTCAAAATACTTTACATATTTTTACTCATTAAATCCTTACTGGATTTAAGCAGATATACTATGATTATCCTTTTTTACTGATTAGAGATTAAGGAGCAGAAGGTTAAGTGACTGACTCTTCCAGGGCACAAAGTCAGTAAGTGATGAGGCCAGAATGTGAACTCAGGCATAGCTTGAGTCACTACCTAGGCATGTCCACAACGAAGAGGTCTGGTGATGGAGTTTATATGAGGGTTTAAGGCATTTGACTCAGGGCCAGGATCAGTTTCTATGTGCTTAGCAACATATTTTGATCTTTCAGTGTTTCGGGCAATAATCTACACAACTTTATCAGTGCTTGGGAATGTTCAAGGCCCCAGCTTGGGTTCAAGCCTACAGGGGGAAAAAAAAAACCCATGCAGCTGGCCAGGTCACAGAGCGGTCAAGGCACTCCGTGTTTCTTGGTCAGGACACAGAAAGAAAGGCGGGGGAGCTGAGGGACCCTACACCATCTCTGCCTGTAGGAAACTTTCTCATGCTCTTTAAAACTAGGACCCACTGCAAATGCTCACATTGTATCCTGTGATTACACTACTCAGATACACTAAATTGGAAATCCTTATTTTCATCTGTCTCTATAACCAGACTTCCGTAACCTACTTGAAAGCAAGGATCTTTGTTTTGCTAGCTTAACTTCCTCAGGGCCCAGCCTAGTAAAGTTTCAATAATTGCACTGTTCAAAATACTTTACATATTTTTACTCATTAAATCCTTACTGGATTTAAGCAGATATACTATGATTATCCTTTTTTACTGATTAGAGATTAAGGAACAGAAGGTTAAGTGACTGACTCTTCCAGGGCACAAAGTCAGTAAGTGATGAGGCCAGAATGTGAACTCAGGCATAGCTTGAGTCATACCCTTAGCCATTGCAATATACCCCATTTCAAAAAAAATACCCCATTACAAAATACCCGAACACATATGGTGAGCTTACATGTGTGAGACTGCTCTGAGTGCTGGCTTAACAAAAATGTTATTACCTACCATTGAAAGCATCCATAATTGAAATAATATAGTAATGATAATAAATCCGAACCATACTTTTCCTACTTTCTTATTAATATGCTCTAATTAATGGCATCACTTTAAAAGTAATTAAACAAAATTTCTGGTTTAAACTTCAAAAAATTTTTTTAATATATATGAAACTAACTCACCCATTAAAATTGTGTTTATCATTGTAGTCCCATTTATCTCACATTCAGTGGTTCTCCAACTTNCCCCCCCCCCCCCCCAATCATGTATTTGGAGGACTAGAAGCATGGGAGGACTTGAAAGGTAAATACAGCTTCTTGTATTTATATGCAAAAAAACTTCTCAACGTACAACAAAACTGGCTTTACTGAAAAGCTAAACATAGCCAATGTCCCCCAATTCTCCCTTTCACATTATCCACACTTAACAAGTGTACTCTAAAACAATCATCAAATCAACCCTTTCGGGGCTCCCTGGCATTTTCTAAAGCTAAGGCATGAGCTCAGATGTTTTACATTTCATGAAATGAGTGACCAGGAGGCAAAATGCAGTTTGTAGTTATGAAATGGCAGGATCTTAGGGAAACAAGAGATTGAGCATATGGTTGTGCCTTCAATAACATCACATAGCATTATAGCTGGTGGTTTAGTAAATACTTACCATTACTCTAGGAGACTTGTTCATTTAAACGTCTCAAATAAAGATGCTTTAATCCTCCAAATCAAAATAAACACACATGATGTAATAATCAGCACATGTACTGAAAATTAAGTCACTGATTGTTTCCCAGAAGATGAGTTATCTGAGAATAACGACTGGCTAACAATTTATTAAAAACTACTAACAGTCCACCTACAAATTTACTGGCTAATGAACAGGACCTACTTTCTGTGTGGGCAACAGAACCCTCTGGGGTGCAGTCTCATCTGCTGCTAAAGGATCTCGCTGGCTCCGGTGGACCAAATGAAAAGACACGGCTTTCTTCTTCTCTATAAAGGGCTTTTTCTTCCTGTGAGGCTTCAAAGGAACAGAAACAGAGCAAATCATTAAAACAGAACAAGAACAACAAAAAAAGTGAATAATACCATAGTCCACATACGCATCTTCAATAAGTCATGTGAAGGTTCAACAGAATAATCTACACTTCT